AAGGGGGACATTTTGAGCTTCTGACTGGTTATTCATGTCATATATAGAAGTAAGTGTATATAAAGGAGTGTTTACAAAAATGGAAAGTGGTGGGCGGGGTGTGACTGTTTGATTTATTATATGAGCAATATCTTAGCAAATAGAAAAGATAAGACCTTCTTATTTTATATTCTTGATTTTCAATATTGGTAATTTGAGTTTCTAATTTGTACGAAACTATATACTTAGTATTTTGACTTCACAAACATCTAATTTGAACCAGTGCTGCATTCAACAGACCATGTGATACACAAAAATTGATGTTTATCTGTGTTTTTTTAATATTTGCTTTTAAATTAAGAAATTGAGTAATGTTTAGTTCTAAAATTTGAATTATAATCTACAGTTTGATACCAAACTTACTGACATAAATTCATGAAATAATAGTACAATATAAAATTTTGAATGCGAGTCAACAAATGAGATGACATGGCCTTTCACCCATGGCCAGTTTTGAAAGGGTTAAAATAATTGCTTTTAACTCTCTTGTTATGAAAAAACCAAAACAGTCATGAAGTTTTCACTCACAGAATAAACAAATTAATAATACCTACACTAAACAGTCTTTTATATCTGACAAAAGGGTTTAGAAGTGTGTTACTGGAATGATACCTGGGATAGAAAGGTTGTTATACAAGGACAGTTTGAGATCTCTTAAAACAGTTTTTTCTTGGAAAAAGAACAGGGAGATCTGACTGAGGTATTTAGATTGATAAAGAAATTGATAATTGTGATGCATCTCCTTTTTTTTTCAGAGTTAATGGTTAGAATGGTAGAACTAAGGGACACAATATATAAATTTTAGCAGGAGTAGGAGTCATCTTCAGCTAAGACAGTTTTATTTTTTAACTGCATAGTTGGACTTTAGAATGGTTTGCCTTCAGATGTGGTGGATGAAGTAAACTTAAGGAACTTTATGAGAAAGCTTGATAGATATTTGAAAGATATGGGCTGGTTTTTAGTTTTTTTATTTATTCATTTTTAAGTTTAAAGAATGGGACAACTATATGGACCAAATTTGTTGTCCTTAAATTTTATGTTAAAATTGTTTTATTTTTTTTGCTTTAAGAAACTGGAAATTGAACCTTGAAAATGCTAGCTTTCATAATATGTAATTAATTAATCTTTTTCATTTTTCTTTACATTTGGATGGCATAGATACATATCTGCATGTAGCTAATTACAGCAGCCTCATAACCATTTGAAACTCGCCATTCAGAAAGATTACAAATAGATTTTTAATACGTTATATCATATAACTTTGTACAGTAATATTAGACTATTTTATCACTATTTTCAAACAAATAAAAGTATATCTGGGTGAACAATGCTTAAAATTATATCTGATAAGCTTGATTTCGTGTAATGGTGGGTCTGTCATGTTTTTTTCATTAACATGGACAAATAGTTCCAGAAAAATTTGAATTGTTTAAGAGTCATTAATAAGCACAGACAGATCAAGTAAGATCTATATGAATGGTCACAATATCGTAGAGTATGATAATACTCATCCCACACCTCTGTTGGATTGTGTTGACTCTTAACACTTATTTTTCAGTCTTAAAATGTTTACATATGTCATATTATAGCTTTGATATTACACTACCCTAAACTAATATGTATTTACAGGGAGCTGTAATCTAGTCATTACAATTTTTATAACATAGGGTAAATTAATGTTTTTTTGAAAAAATTAAATTAAATGTCACCACTTACTTATTAGCTGTTTTCTACCAAAAATTACCAACTTTTATTAAGATATCTTTGTAAATGAATGGATGATACATTCCACAAATATTGTATCCCTTGAACAAGTATATTTGCCATCATAATAAAAGTAAGGTAATGTGTACTGGTTATCATAGCATTAATTATTCTTATACTCTTTTAAATATTATGAGGAAAAAGATCTATGTATATAACTAATAAAATATCATAAAATTCCAGACTATGTGCATTAGCTAATAATAAGGCAAACAGTTCATTCTATAAGGTACTAGTTATATCTCATCTGGAATACTGCATTCAGTTCTGACCACCTTGTTTAAGAAAGGATTTGGAGTTGCTGTAGAAGATTCACAAAAGAGATACCAGGTTGATTAGAAGATTGGATGGGTTAGTATATAGGGATAAATTGAATTAATCTCCTCTTGACACATTTTTGATAGATTAAAATCTTATAATCCATAGATACAAATGATGTTTAATGACAAAAACTGCAAGCAGCAAGACTAAAAAAGACACAAATTTTAAACATGGAAAACAATGACATGCCTCCAGTTAAGGTAGCATTACTTCTCTTGATGCCTAAGGAATAGTTTGCTTATAGATGTAGTAACAAATACAATGTTGAATGAATTTAAAAGGAGATTGAATTAATATTTAGAGATCCAGGTTGGATAAAAGAAAAGAGGTTTCTATAGGCACTTTGATGTATGGTGGTAATAGAAAATGTGATGACTTAGAAGAACTATATAGTCTCTTGTTATCCATGTAAACAAAAGGAAAAAAGTGTTTAGTTTTGCACATGAAATATTGAAATGTCTTGCTTCTTGTTTGAGAGAAAATGTAGTTGTTGAAAAAACCTTAAAGCTGTATGCTGCATATTAACTTAGCTATGGTAAAATGTGCAAATTAAATGTTTAGCTTCACTTATAGGAACTTAAAAAGTTGTTCTTGCCTTATATAGACAGGAGAACAAATTTAAAAATGGGGAGACTTAGATATATCGGTCAGCCTACATGTGATTGAAAAAAACTATCTATGTATTTGGTAGTGATCTTGTAATAATGGTGGACAAACAGGGCTGCACATTATTATAGCTCTTAAAAACAATGTGTCCAAATTGCCAACTTGAGCTTCTGTCATAAGCAGTATCCCAAACAGCAAACAAAATAAATTCTTTCATTTCAGCTTTTAACATAGGCCTAATATATATTTTTATACAATGAATTCTTTCTTTTTAATTTCTCTGTGAAACTAAATATCTATGGTTTATGAAATAATAATAACATTAATTAATATGCAATTTGTCAGTTCTTTCTCAATATATAATATTTCAAGTTTCTTTTAAATAAATTCATACTTCCTACCTGAAGATAAATCCGTTGACATTTCTTCAAATGGAGAATGACTGATTTCATGGGGCCTTCTATTTGTAGGTGGAATGGCAGAAGGAACTGTTAGTGTAACTGGCATGCATCTACGCCGTTTGGCTGGTCTTCCACTATTTGGACTTAACAATGGGTCCCATTCACTTGATCTTTTTAAAGTTGCACAAGCCATATCCTCTACTCAGTAAAATGTTTGGTAATGATTACAGGAAGTACCGTATTCGTGTTAATAAATTCTCACTATATATATATATATGTATATATACATACTCCTAGGTAACTTTTGGCTCTGTAATTAGTGTAAGCTGACACCTAACGTTAGGACACCGACTAAGTACTAGTACGAGTACGACAAAGAGTCGCTAGTAGTATTAACTTAGTACTAAGTTAATATTTCTAGGCTAGAAATTAGATAAACAAATAGTACTAATGCCAATGTAATGGTGAGTGCGTTATATAGTTGTATAACACGGTAGACTTTTAAACTACTCCTATACACGTTCGTACAGAGAAGAGATGTTTTAGCTTTTAAGACAGCAAAGTACTAACTGATTGACTACTTAATTTAGCAAACGTATCGTTGAATTGGCGTGTCGCTTTCGGAAAAATGTTAAATAATTGTCACTGTCAATTCATAATAAATAAGCTCACAAATAACTGCGTTTTACACTAAACTAAATAACAAAACTGATGGTTACATATATTAAGAGTAAAATCATCAAAATATAATAGAATGTGATTGTAACTTGAAGAACACATAGTGCATACCTCACAGTCAAACACTATGCCAGGTCACAATCCGCCGTTTTCAAAATGGCTGATCTTTTTGGATAGTTGGACAGTTTCCTCACTATTGTATTATTGTTTAAAATTTCAATTTCAGACATAACATATCCACGTGTATCCAAATCATCAATGTTGTTTCCAAATCCAGTGTTCTTGAATCATAACTAAACCCTAAATAAACATCGTTCGTATTTCAAGTTTGAGGTATAAAGTATAACACTGAATTGTATCTAACATATTGTTACGTCTCCGTTTGTTAATTAACTTTCCGCAACTTCGTTCCGACGAAACTTAAGCGAC